AGTGCTGCCTCGCAAGTGCAAAGTTCTGAGTTCAATCCCTGGCACCACAAAAAAAAAAAGAGAAAAAGCAAAGCAATAAGAACAAATTGGGAAGCTGAGTGAGGCAGGCAAATTGCTGCAAGTTTGAGGCAGCCTGGGCTACATAGTGAGTTCAGGCCCAGCACGCACTACATAGCAAGACCCTGTCTCAGAGGGCTTAATACCAGCCAAAAGACACGAAGATCACCTATGCCCACCATGGCAGCAATGACTGCCTGGATGCAGGATCACTGTCACTGTGGTTGGCCTTCTCTCCTCAGAGCAGCCTCCAGCTCCCGGAGGGCTTCGCTGTGCACTGTCTCGGAGGGAGCTACAGATACGCAGACACTGCACAGCGATCTCTGTCCAGGGACCCAGGATGATTCTGCACCCTGGAAACAAGATACGAACTTTGGCATCATGACCTCTCTTCCTAAGGACTCGGGGCAGTAAGAGCACCCCGTGAAAAAATAAACAGCCAGCATTATTTTCTTACTGAACAAGCAGAAGCCCTGAATCAAGTGGCGGGGCAGGGCGGAGTAGATGAATTACTCACAAGCCCACCCAGAAACGTGCTGTGGCTCTGACCACGTCAGCCTCTGCTCCTTCCCTTTCCAGCCACAGAGTCTTGATTTGTGGGTTTGGTCCCATGGGCGTCAGCGGCCTTCCCAAGCCTACGTGGCATTCTGTCATGGCGCCTCGTCTGTGCTGAGGCCTCTGGTTCTCTCCCACCCCCACCATGGCTGCTCTTTCCAGCACCGTCTCACACTCCTCTCAACAAACCCGCATCTTTTCCTCTCTCGCGCTCCCAAGGACTCTGACTCCCACTGCGACACGGCACTGTTCTTGTGCTGCTGACCGTGTGCTCTGCACGTGCCCAGCCACGTGCCTGTACACACCAGCACCCACCACGCAGCCAGGAGCAGCCTTTCCCTCGCTGCACACGCACCTCGAATCCCGCTTCCAGAGAACACATGCACTGAGAAGAGGGCGAGGCTGCAACTGCCGCCTTGTGTGGCTACAGCTCAATGTCCTGCAAAGCCTCACGCGGTTACAGGTGCGGTTTTTCAGAGGCGGCTGGGCCTAGAGTGTGTGACGCGTGCGTGGAGCTCGATCAAGGGTGTGTGGTCACTACATCGGTGCACTGACTGTGTGGCACAGTTGTGGGAGAGGCGAATGGGCAGGTCCTCCCGGGGTGAGTGCTACCTGCCCTAAGGTGCATGGCCTGGGCAGGACAAAGGGGCAGAAAGGGCTCACGGGTCACCTGCCGCTCCTCTCCTTCCCCGCTGCGCCGCCTTCTGCCCACCATGAAGCGCTTCTCCTCTGTAACTCCCGGCCACTCCACCCTGCCTAGCAGCCAGCCACGTGGGCCAGAAGCCTGAACAGACAGCTGCAACGAGCCTTTCCTCCCTTCACCTTGGGCGCCACTACTGCTCTGAGCAACAAGAAGAGTCACGAAGCCATCCCTGCTCCCCTGCAGCTTCCCTTCCACTCCGGAGCCCACACCGATTAGACGGTACACAGCAAGGACAAAATTAGTTACAGATAGACTTTTTAAAGAATGACTGGTGGGCCAAGGAGATGGCTCAGCAGAATAAGTGCTTGCCTGGCAAGTGCAAGGGCCTGAGTTCAATCCCCGGTTATGCAAAAACAAACAAACAAACAAAACGGTAAACACTGCGCCTATCACTGATCTGCGTCTCCTCCGCTATGCGTTAAGCATGGAAAGAGGCAATGCCGCCCCGTGGGCAAACGTGTGGGCCAGCCAGCTGCGTGGTTTCAGTTCCCAGTTGTCCCCATCAGCTGAAAAGTCACTTAATTCTTTGTGCCTTTGTGTTCCCATCTGTAAAATGGTAGAAATAACTGCATCTACCTCAAGGGGGTGTTTTGCAGGATTCTAGAGTTGCAAATCTCTAGAGCAGAGCCGGCACAGCGGCCCCGGGCCGAGCCGATCACCCCTAGTGCTTTGGGAAGTTCTCTAACTTTACCCTCCCAACATAGCAAGAACTTGCCTCCAAAACAAACAAACAAACAGAAAAAGGTCACAGGAACAGTCATGCACAGCAGGGCAAAGGACTGCTGGGGTCATCTGCAGCAATACTGTGGCGAGAACAGGAGCAGAGAACCACGCCTGGAGCAGGTCACTGTCCTCCAAGCCACCTGACACGTCTGTCACCTGCGTAGGTCACAGAGACCGGGCATCTGTGGGAATGGCCAAAGCTCCAGGATGAGGCAGCCTGCCCCTCATTCCTAAGGCGCACGACTGCTTGGCGCGCACACACACACACACACACACACACACACAGATTTGTTCCCTGTGGGGACTGCTCAGTGACATGAGCCACGGCCATAGCAACCAGCTGCCTCGCTCTCAGAGGAGTCCACACCCGCGCTGGGGTGCGCCTCCTCACAGTCAGACAGGCTGCCAGCGAAGCGCCTGCAGCTCAAGGAGCCTCGGCGAAGCGCTGTAGATTCCCCTGCCATTACGGGAGAAAGGGAGTAAGGCAGAGGTGCAGTAGCCCTTAGCATTTGCCCATAAAAGTGAGACAAGGCCTACAAAACTGTATCCAGTCTACTCACAGTTATTGTCTTCCTCGTTTTGTATACTCTTGTTCTCTTTGAGAACAGATTTTTACTAGTGAAGGGCGGCATGTGGGTGGCCTGGTAAGTCTTTAGAACACCTCTGAGCACCGTCTTCAGTTTTCCATCAGGAATGGACACCACTTGTTCTTCCAAGCTGAGGAGCTGGCAGGGAGCTGAGCAAGGTAGCAGGTAGGCACGAGTAAGCTGCACCTAGAGCTGGGTCCTCACTGCCAGCGGGTGCCACGGACTCACCGCTGGGTAAGCTGCCATCGCTACCGGCAAAGGCGACAGCGGCGAGGCTCTCCGGGCGGAAGCCTGACCTTGCCCTTCAACTGAGGCCTCCTTCTCCACCCACAACGCCAGTGTGCAAGGCACACAGGGAGACGGACGGTGCTGACGTCCAAATGGCTGTGCTGCTACAGGTGTAGAAGGCTGTCAAATTACAAGAACGTGTGTGTATGTATCTGTGTGGCTTGTGTATGTGAGGGAGAAATAATACATGCGAGGATACACAGACATGTGGTGCATGTGGATGGTCTACACACACACACACACACACACACAGATTAGGCAGAGCTCTGGACAAAAGGCTGCAAGTTCTTCCAGGCAACCAATGTGGAGTCTCAGGAGAAGCAGCACAAAGGACAGGAATGGAAAACCACAGGCTAGTTATGTCCCTTTTTTTAGCCCACTCAGGTTCCAGCCCTGAGCAAATATCCCCAATAACTCACACACTATGAATGCCCCCTACCTGGAAATGTGCTGGCTGACTTGCTTGTTTTGAAAATCCTTTTGACTCGGCACTGCTGCTTTTTCTTGAGCTCTTAAATCGAGGAAGCGACCTCCTGCTATTTGTTTGTAGGACACCACACCCACAGCGTCACGTCCCTCCAACGCACCCTCGCCTGAATGTGTCGGGGCCAACACGGAAGCCCTGGGCTGCAACGCCAGGCACTCTGGGGCGACGCTTCTCCCAGGTCGGCTTCCTCACTCCACTCAGCCTTGCCCATCACTCCCAGCTTACTTAGCACTAGCCCGACCTACAGCTTTTGTGCAGACAGCCTATGTCTGTTTTATCTACTCTCTAACCCCAGGGGCTGCTTGGGGAGGAAAAGCAGGCTGCTGTCAGTCCCAGAGCTCCCGGGCCACCTTGTGCAACCCAAGACTCTCCTACTAGACACTTAAGCTGAACATCCAATCCGAAAAGAGTGCACTGTCAGGGGTTTCGGCACTGTCCTATAAGGAGGTGAAACACCGGGAAAGGTGTCCGCCTGGCAAGACCCTCAGCTGGGTGGGGACTGTGCTGCGCCAGCCACTGTGCCCATCTGTCTGTGGGCTGAGATGACCTCACGCGACCTCATAGCAGTCCTGGCATCGCCCATGGAGGTGTCCATCTGGCCGCTCTGGGCTCACAGAAGATTATTAATCCCATCTTGTCTGGGTTCGTCCAGTCAGTGACCAAGAGCATCAAAGCGCCAGCAGTCACTGGACAGGAGAACCGCACAGTCATTGCTCAGCCCTTCAGAAGCGCAGCTAAGCAGAACAGCTGGCCATCCCCATTTCGCCGTGGGGCCACACCACCTCTGGAGGGAACCACACCAGCCCCTAGCAGAAGCCCTTCCTCTGACCAGATGGAACACCTAGCCTGTGCTGACGGAAGTGCCAGCCAGCTGCCCCGTGTGGCCTGTCCCCAAGCCCACCTTAAAGGAATGGTTCATACTGTCCCATCTAAAGGGACTAGGAGAGAAATTTCTCTCTGGTCTTCACATATTTCTACTCTGCTGTTACTGCAGGGAAGCGCTGTGTGTTCGTTGGTTGTATTTCACAGCCCAGAACCGAACCTGTGACCTGCTTCTTCCACTAAAATAAAACTTGGTGTGAATGTTAAGCGTTAACCACTGTGGTTAACGCTTAACATCCGTACCCCACTTAGCTCCTGTCTCTTCATTCTCCTAGTCTTTAACTTATTTTATCTTCTTGTACTATGTAATTTTTGCTAAGTCATTCTAAACCCTTTGAAACATATTGAAATATAAATACCCTAATAAAATAAGAAGCCACAGGGAAGGGCTGTTAGTAGATTAAATGTAATACTTGTGATGTCTCACAATTATCTTCATTTTCTCATTAATACTACAGTTAAGGGTCAAGACTAATACTTAGATCTATAGCTAAAGCCTTAAGCCAAAGGTTAAAGAGTAGAATACACAAGGACACAACAAAGGAAGAAAACTCAGGAATCAAATTTTGAAAGGTAATACATTCCAAAATCCATTATTACGTCTCAACTTTTCAACCTTTTCTGGGAGTTAATTAAAAATGATATTAAAATATTCTACATCTTCTGCTCAATGACAGCATTGCTGTTACTCAAAAGCAGAACAGCTCCAGCCACCTACCGTGTTTGTGGATAAATGCCAGGCCCTGCAATATCTGATACATGATGTTCCTTACAGCAGACTCTGGAAACAACTTGTTTCTGTATGGGACAAAGGGAAACAGAGTTATAAATCCACATTTTGGTATTAAAAGAGATCCCCGTGCCTTCATGTTCTTTTCAGCATGTCGTAGGAAATAAAGAAAACATAGGTCCTTACACTAATTTTTGTAGTAGTGGTGGTACTGGGGATCGAACCCAGGACCTCGCACATGCTAGGCAAGCACTTTACCACTAAGCTACAGCCTCAGACCTCTTACATACAGTTTTTACCCAGATCCTTTGATAATAAACACCAAGAAAATAATCTCTTGTCCATACAGAGGGCTAACCTAATAATATCAATATATTCAGCTACATTACAAAGATTACACATTTTGTAATAAGAAAAAAAAACCCCTCTAGCAGCATATATAGATCTGTGACAGAAGCGAGAGCTATCTGAAGTCATTTGGATGAAGCCTGCACAGGACGCAGTGGAGGTCTGTTAGTGGACAAAGCCACCAGAAAGTGAACCCGAGTCTATCCGTGGTTCAATCTCAACACTGAAAATCACTGTGGCCGGGAAATTTCTTACTGGTCTCTTCTTTCTAGCATGCAAGTACTTACGTACCGCGGCAAGAAAAACTAAAATCAACCTACAATTTTTCAATAGAGGTTTCAAAATAAACGCAGCTGGGCACAGCGCCAACATGCCTGACTCGTGGCCATTTGCCCGCTTGGGCTCCTGGGTACAGAGGTGAGTCGAGTGTCCCGGGAGTCGCCGAGGCTCTACAGGAAACCCACTCTGCGGAGAGCGGCTGGCGCAGGCCTCGCTGGCTCCCACAGCAGGAGTGGGAGCTGCACCCTCTTCTGCCAGGCAGCTTCCAGCACTGAAGCCAGCCAGGCAGCAGGACCAATAAACAGTGAGAGAAAGAGGGCTGGGAGGTAGGTCAGGGGCGTAGGTGCCTGCCTGTGAAACGCAAGGTCCCAAGTTCAATCCCTGGTGCCAAATAAGAATAATCAGAGAAAGAATTGGGGGACTTCAACTAAAAAAGCAGAAAGAAAACACATCTACGTTACAATATTTATTTCTAAGAGCTAAAAGTCCAAAACATACCTTTCTTTAATGAGCTGGTAAAGATTCTCCTTCATGTACTCAAAGATAAAATAAAGATGATCATTTTCCCGGATCACTTCTTTTAATTTTACTACATTGGCATGGTTGAGCTTCTTTAAAGACTGAAAGGTAAGGGGGGAAAATTAGAGCTAATCTGTTAATGAAAAAGGAAAGTAATCCTGGCAAAACTTAGGGGGAAAGCCCTAATTGTAGGACATGCCCTCCATTATGTATCTTACTGACAACTCTATACGGAGCATTTCTCTGAAACCAATAGTAACTCTCCTTAGAAACCAATCCGAGAGCGGCTGAGCGGAGCGAACGAAGGCCCTGACCCCGCCCGGGCTTCCGCTGCTGCGCGCAGCGCCGGCAGTGCCCGGCTACTTTAGGCTCCCCCGCCGCGGCAGACCGGGACGCCGGAAGAAGCTGAGGCTTCGGGTTTCCAGCCTGGAGCGAGCAGCTGCTTGGGGCTGAGAGCAGGGCGAGCGGTCTGCAGACGTTTAAGCAGGGCACTGCTCAGAGGGAGCGCGGGTGGGCTCCTGGCCCGTAGGAGCCTCCGCGACGAGGCGCGGCGCGGTCCCACCAAGCGAGCTCCAACCGCGCTCAGTCCGCCGGAGCGTCAGCCGGGCAGCGTCCGCCGACGCACTGACTGTCCTGGCATTGCTCGGGCCCGCGTCATTTCAACCAGGTGATTTTTGTTTGCACAAGACACACTTGTGCATGTTTTATGTCAACCATATTCTGCATATATATATATATATATATATATATATTTTTTTTTTTACTTAGGCCATTGTATTTGCCTTTGATATTTCTTTCTAGTGACCTCTAGTATCAAGTTTTGGTTGTTTTATTAGTTAATGTTTCCTTTATTTGTGAAAAAAGCCTATAATTTTGTGCTAAAATCTCTAAAGACTTTTATTGTAAGTACATTAGAGATAGTCTTTATATTTCTCTAGAACTCAGTGGTATTCTTTTATAAAATGGACATCGTTGGGGCTGAATAGGAAGAAAATAACAAAAGAGCTGCAAAAGAAAACCCTGGAGGGCTAGGGAGGTAGCTCAATGGCATAAGCGCCGCATGGTCCTGAATTCGAGCATCCGGCCTGCCAAAAAAAAGGGCTCCTGTAACCCCAGCTCTTGGGAGGCTGTAAGCAGGCGGAGGCCGATCTCATAGTGAGCCCTGAACACCCTTTAGACTCTTCCCCCCTCGCCCCGGAAAAAAACCACTGAAAAAGGGTGGAATGTTAGAATGGCAGAGAGGGAAAGTCTTTCATAAAATGGAAAGACAAAAAAGACGTTTCCTTATTGTCAATTATTAATAATATAGAAATGATAGAACTTGAAAAAAAGAAATACAACTAAAAAATTCCAATAGTGGTCAGTGATTATAACAATTCTACGGGTGGTGACAACACAGCTGACCACCATCTAGCCTATAATCAAACAGCAAGGAAAAAAATTAATGTAAAATATTTAGGTACCTTCTGGACCAGAAAAACAAATAGAACTCGTTTGTTATCTATTTAAGAAAGGGGGGGGGGTTCAAAATGTTATTTACAATTCAGATTAGGTTGAAAAGACCAAATAATTGAAAATTATGGGCTAGTGAAATGCCAATGAGGACATCCATCACTGATGTCTTCACCATTATGTTTAGTGAGTAGACATTTTATTGAAATTATGCTAGCCACAAAAAAAGGGAAGCTGGGCACAGTGGCACAAACCTGTAAGCCCCGTACTTGGGAGGCTGAGGCAGGAAAATCAGAGGATCATTGAGAGTTCAAGATCAGCCTAGACTACAAAGTGAGCTCAAGGCCAGCCTGAGCTCCACAGTGAGACCCTGTCTCAAAAAGGCAGGAAAAAAACAAAAAAAGGAAAGGCTACCCTGATAGCATGGAGAATGTCGTTCAAAGAAAAGATAATAATACATAAAAAATTCAGAAACTAGATCCTACTGTCCAGATTGTAACACTGTATTCTGTACTGAGTGTTTTCAGATATAGCATACACAGAAAGATCACTGAATAAATCTGATAAAATTATTACTTTTATATTTCCTGTTGTATGATGAAAATGCAATTCTGGTCAGCCTGTATTTATTTATTTATTTATTTATTTATTTATTTATTTAGCGGTACCAGGGATTGAACTCAGGGTCCTGAGCTATCTCCCTCGCCCCAGCTTATATTTAAATAAGTGGACTGGTAAGTGGTTAATTACGGAGAAAGGAAAGGAGACGTCGTATTGTAAAGACCCTGCAATGAGATGGAAGAAATTCCTTTCACTCTAAGAACAATAAAGGTTAAAAAAAAAAAAGAGAAGACTCCTTACTGAGGACTAAGAGGGGAGGTCAGATGTCAGCACCCACCCTCTGCCCTGGTCCTCACAGGGGGAGCGGAGACCTGTGATTGTCACCTTCTCTCTGCAGCCTTAGCTCTGCCTGTGGCGAATGCGGGCGGCTGGTGGGCCAGTCCCGCTCACGTAGCGCACCTAGAGAAGAGCTGTGGGTCTGCTGATGGGATGGCAAAACCCGCTGGGCTGCCGCCTGCAGGAGGCGGGCAAGCACGAACCTTCCATTCACGAGCTGTTTCCTCACAGAGCAGTACGTCTGACGGTAATCACCTGGACAGCCCTCTCTACCTCTGGGTTTTGCTGGAAAGATCAATCCTTTTATAAAAGGAACAAACCACTGAAAGATGGATGTGTTACAATGAACACTCAAATCTAGAAGGATGCTGGGCATCAGGTAGCCAAGGGACAGGGCTCGGGAAGGCATCACGCGATCAGGCTGTCATGCTGCTGGGACCCGCGCTGGTGAGGAGCAGAGTGCAGCTGCTCTGGAGCCTGTTCCCCACGGGCAGGTCCTGCCAGGACGCCTCTCTGGCAAGGATTCTTCATGGTTTTGGCCAACTATTTAGGCCAGGCCTTCCAGAGCAATCCAAAGAGGTCGATTATTTCCTCTAGTTGGGTTGGATTCCTGGTCCTCCAAGAACAAAAACCACACACACCACTCCACCTCTAAGTGTTCGCTGGGCTCCCCGGCCACAGCCATCTTTTCTGCCTGTTTCCTTAAAATGCTTCACAAGCAGCAGCCACGAACTCCTCCTGAGGAACCTCAAGGCGAATTCTATCTGAGGAAAAGGAGCCTGCTTCCAGCTTTGCTGGATGAGAACTCTGAACAAGGCCTGAGGTGCCTCCAGCTTTCACCGATGTTTCGCAGGTGAATTCCCAGCTCTGGCTCAGAGTGGCCCCAGCTCCTGCCTCGCCTCGCAGTGAGGCTCGTGGGCAAGCCACAGTCCAACGTGAAAAGCTGAATCGTGCATCAAGGACCTCATGTGATCCACTTTAGAGGTCGGTTTCTAAAGAGGGGTGGAGGCAGGTCACTTGTGTCAGAGGCATACCTAGCACTGGCACATATGGGGACAGGCCTTTACTACCTGCCACTTGGACTTACAACTCATCTTTTTTGGTGTATACAGTTCTGTACATCTCGTTTGCAGAGTCTCGGTATCTTTATTCTGTGTAGCAGTACACCTTCTTTATATAGTACTGCAATTTTTGCTGGTTTTGCTGTGCCGTGTATTATACTGTACTTTACGTTCTATGGTACAAGACAGTACTGCATGTAAGAGTTATGCAAATGAGCAAAGCCAGCGAGCTGGGGCCTCCTCTGACCCGGCTTTGTTCTCAAACTGTAACGCATGGGCTGCAAACCATCCTCAGTTATTGTCACAACCAATTAATTGAACAACCTGATCTCAGGATAGGAACTAGGCTGTTCAATGAGAAATATCTGTACAGAGTCTGCAGGTCCTCGCTCTAGCTTGGAAAGCCCCTCCCCGTTTGGAGGTGGCAGGGGCGGGTTTCAGTATCCTTCTAACTGTCTCAACAGGGCTTGAGAGAGTGAAGAGCAGACCGAGCTCCCCTTCAGGGCCTAGAAGAGAATTACAGACGGAGCCAGGGGGGCTGACATCCTCTGGCGGACATGAGGAGCACCAGAGTGACAAGGGGGACGGAAGAAAGAAAGGGAGCGGTGGCGCAGCCGGGACGCCAGTGCAGGGGAAGCTAAGTGCCACGCAGTCCGGACCCAGTGTCTCCCTGGCCCAGAGAGCGGAGCACAGGGGAGCTGAGGAGCACCTGAACAGGCCCGGCTCCTGCGCCGCAGGGGACACTCTGCAGATGCTCCTGTGCGTGACTGGCGACAACCGCCTCAGCTGGCGGCAACAACTCACTAAACAGACTTCATTTTACTGATGTACGCTGATGTAAACATCCATTAATGACAAAAGCTTTCTGGTAGAACAGTCACTAGGACTGTGACATTATCATCTTGTGCCTGCATTATCTACTAGCTGAATACCACCCGCCCACCTTTTCAGCATCAGTAAAAAGCTATAAGCAGGATGATTATGTCAACTATAAACTCAATCAGACATAAAACTATTTTAATCAACAAAACACAAAAATCATCTCCTGGTATATTAATAAATACCTTAACCTCACGAAGGTTCATGCATTCTTCCCAGGAATAAAACTTTCTTTTCATCCTAAAAGAGAAGAAAGAAATAAAATGTTCATTCCAAGAAGCAGGCTAAATTTTATTTTTGAATGTTTTCTTTTTTTTTACTTAAATGTTTTCATTCTGACCGAATCAATACCGCCTACATACAGGTGATTCTGATTTCCACCAAATACTGTATCATTCAAACAGCATTAGGGCCAGCCAGATAGCTCAGCGGATTAAAGGCCTGCTTAGGCAGGCACAGGGACCGGGGTTCAATCCCCGGCATGCTGTGCCAGCCCGGCCTCTGGGGAGCTCTGAGATGGGGATTGAGACTGGGCCTGGTGGTGTGCGCCTATAATCCCAGTGCTTGGGAGGCTAAAAACAGGATGATCACTACAAGTCCAATCTGTGCAGTAAAACCCTATAGATCCTGTACTAAATGCATTAAAAAACAAAAACAAAAAACCCCAGTATTTATGTTAAAATGTGGCATTGCAGTCTGGCCTAAATCACACAACTTCCCAGCAGTGCTGGTGTGTCCAAGAAGCCTGGACTGTTGGCCTGCTCTCCCCACAGTGAGCTAATCTGGCTCAGAGGAACTCTCTCAGCCTTGCTCGATCTAGAATAGAGCCTCCCAAAAGCCCTTGCTTGCTGTGTTAGCGCAAATGTTCTGTGCTGTCCAGCACGCTAGCCACTCCACTGTGGCTGCTGTGCAAACAGGAATGGAATTTCAGGTTCACCTCAGCCTGAATCCAGAGGACACCTGTGGAAACACCACGCTACACAACAGCAAGCTCTGCACCTGCTGCTTCCAGGACAGAGTTTCTCAGGCTCCCCTACGGGCCAAATCCACTCTGTCATCTACTTTTACACAGAGTTAGGGATGGTGCTTGTGTCTTTAAATTGAGGAGAACAAATCAAAAGATGAATAACATTTCATCATATGTGAAAATTACATGAAATCAAAATTTCAGTTTCTATAAAGGAAGTCTTATGGGAACACAACACGTTCATTTGTTTCTGTACCCACCACCTTCCAAAATGGAGGGACAGGTGAAGAAACTGAAGCTCGGGGAAGGTGCGTGAGCTCCCCAGCCAAGCTGGTTGCCAACAGCCCAGCTTCCACCGCTCCCGCGCTCTCTGCCACTGTCCCTGCCACAGGGCTTCCTGGTTGAGTGACCAGTGCCTTTATTCACGCTCTAAATATTCCTGAGCCAGAGAGATGATGACAGGACAATGACAGCATCCCTCCTGGAGCAGACATCGGAGCAGGAGGGTAGGTGGCAATGTTCCTTGGCTGATGCCACACAGGAGGCCTCAGGGCACATGTGAGAGGGCTCCCAGTAGGCACCTACCCTCGTCTGGATCGTGAGGGAGCACCCCTCCAGTGCGCAGCTGCTCCAGCAGCCCTGCAGGAGGTCAGGGATTTAGCTTGGTCAGAGGCCTGAGGGGGAGTACTGCGGGCAGGACCTCAGCCCAAGAAGCTAACGGCTGCAAGACTGAAGCCACAGGCAGGGTCATGGTGACAGGAGGCAAGGCTGAGGAGAACGAGCAGGGGCACAGGACACAGCAACGTGTAGGTCGCATTTAAAATGTGGGGCTTGGTTGGTGAGATGGCTCAGTGGCCTAAAGCACCTACTTAGAACAAGCTTAGCAAAGCACAGGAACCATGGTTCAATCCCCCAGCACCACATGCCAGCCAGCCCCGCCCTCTGGTGGGCTGAGCTGGCCATACATACACACAAATAAATAAATAAAAAAAAAAAAAAAAACTGGATTTAAAAAAAAAATAATAAAAAAATAAAACGTGGGGCTCACCCTGCAAAGCCCAAGTAAGTACGCTGTTCTCCTACTAATCACGTTGTGTGTTTAAAATCTTCTCCCTGTGGTGTGAGGAGAGCAGCAGGCAGAAGCCAGGAGGCCCGGAGGCCCGACAGCTCGGGCGGCACAGGGCAGTGGGCTGGGTGGGAGGCAGAAGTGGGCAGAGAAAGCGTCCAGAGAATTCACAGGACCAGCGGCCCAAGGTGAGGGCTACGGAGGGAGCAACAAAAGAGGACCCCCCGGTTCTAAAGGAACGGTGGTGCCGTTTATCAAGACAAGAGGAACAAGTGTGGAGGAAGAGAGGAGATTATGCTGAATACTCACCAATGTTGCGCATGGTGAGTTTGAAATACTTGCACGATATCCAAAGGGAGATGCTAAGGAGGCAAGTGGCCATGGATGGTGTAGCAAGAAGCCCCCAGGGGCTGCCCAACACCTCCCTTCCTGGCGTTCCTGTCCTGCCCTCCCTCTCTCTCTTTTTTTGCTTCTAAGAATCACTTGCTCCTAGCCAGTGAGATACAGTGACGTCTCTGGAGAGCCCACAGTGGTATCTCAGTTCATGACCTTCATTCCTTCCACAATTCTGGTTGCAAACCAAACTGGATGAGAATTGAATCAAATTCAATGGTAGGGTCAACTGGTTTTTTTCTTTTTTCTTTTTTTTGCATTTTTTTAGGGAATGGTCTACAGGGTGTTCAGGGTCTCACTACTAGATCAGAGTCTAGTGATCTGCCCGTTTACAGCCTTCCAAGAGCTGGGATTACAGGCGCGCCACCACACCCAGTCTCAATTGGGGTCTCAGTGTGCCCCGGGGCAGTGGGGCCAGCAGGGCATGCCCGGGGATTGAACCCCCGGCCTTTGCACCTGCTTGCAGGTGCTTTAATCCGCTGAGCTATTTGGCTGGCCCTGGTTAGGGTCAATATTGATGTAACGGAGAAATCCAATTCGGTTCTCATCCAATTTGGTTTGTGACCAGAATCGTGGAAAGAATGAAGTTCGTGAACCAAGGTGCCACTGCCATTTGCAACAGCAAGGATGTTCTCATCGCTTTCTTCTCGTCCACATCTTCATGAAGCAAGTTGCCCAGTTACGAGCTGCTGTTTGGAGAGGTTCACACGGCAAGCCACCAGGCGCAGTCAACAGCCACCAGGAGCTGCTTGTCACAGCAACACACAAGGTTCTAAGGCTGCCTGTGACCACACGTGTGAGCTCAGAAGGGGACCCTTTCCTGGCTCAGCCTCCAGGGAGACCCCAGCCCCGGCTAACACCGTGACTGCACCCGCAAGAAACCCTGAACCAGACAGCTCAGCTAGGCTGTGCTGACCCAAACAAACTGCCACAGAACTGCTACATGGCAGCACGTAACTCCCACCACAGGCTGCACTCCACATGCAAAGATCAAATACGCAGTGGGACAAGGCACAGATCTCCAGACACCCCACAAGTGAGTGACTGAGTAAGTTATTTAATTTCTCGGAGATTCCATTTCCTTCCCTGTGAAATGACAGTTACTAGCCTACTGGCCATTACCTCACAAGATAAGAAAACACCAGAAAAGCACTCGTGCTATTTGTAAAGTAGTAAGTCTAGCGTGGGACCCTTTATGACCTCCAGTATGAGTGCTGCAGAACCCCAGAACCCAGGTTCTTCTCCCCAGCCCCCACCCACGCCCTTTTAGCGACGTCTCAACGACAGCGGGTGGCAGGGCTAGAGCTGAAACTGTTCTGACAATGTACAGCTCAACAATTCACCAGAACAAAGAATACCACTTACTTTTTGATAGCAATCAGCTCCCCAGACTCAATGCTTCTTCCTAGCAGGACAGAGCCGTAGGTCCCATCCCCAAGCTGCTTGATCGTGGTGTATCTATTCATGGTGGGCCTGCTCAGGCCAGGCGTGCATGTCAGGGCCGAGGAGGTTCCGTCCTGCAGGCCTCCCCAGAATGTAACCAGATTTTCCGATGGCAGCACCAGCACAAGGTATTCAGCAAGACGTGACTATCTCCCCAATACATATTTTCAAAGATCAGTCTTCTGCCTGTAGGGGGTCATGAGAGACAGGATAAATGCTAACGCATACTGCAAGTCTATACATTTTTATAACTTAAATCAGGGGCCATGAACTCTAGCCCACAGCCGGCCACCATTCTTACGAAGTCTTACTGGCAGACTCCCCCTCACCTGCACTGCCACTGTGGCTATGTCAGCAGAGTTGAGCGTCTGGGACACCAGGGGCCCTGGAACGTCTAAGGAACTTACGACTCGGAGCTTCGCAGAAAAAGCTTGTCAGCTCCTCATCAAAATAACGCTTTTTTCTAATGTTTTATAAAACTCGAGAGACTACGCTTAGAAAGTGATGAAATGATCAGCTCCAGCTCACTCTTCTGCTGACTAGCCATTCTGGACAAACTGTATGAAAACTACAGCTGATCAAAACTGCTGAGCTCTGAGAATCCATGCTAAATATACTGTGCTACAGACTTCAGCTACAATTACCAGAGGAAAACACAGAGCCACAGAATGGTTCCTTTTTGCTTTTTGAGACAGAGTCTTGCTATGCAGTTTGGGCTGGCCTTGTGGGGCCTCACTTTTGTAGGCCCCAGGGTGGCCCCCAACTCACAGAGATCTTCCTGTCCCAACCTCCCGAACGCTGGGATTATAGGCGTGTGTCATCATGCCTGGTTCTGGGCCTGCCCAGTGGGCACCCCACAGAATGCTAAACTAAGTTCTTCAGAGCCTAAGTGTGTCCCATGAACTCATCAACAACAGCATTACTTTTATCTCTAGAAGCTTCCCAAAGCAGGAGGCTTTGGGGGACAACTAGCCATAGACCGTAACACCCCTTTTAATATTACCAGTGTGTGACTGACTGCCTGAGTGACTGACTGACTGATTTTTCTTTTCAAAGTTTTATTGATAAACATATAGCAATGAGACAGTTTCAAATCAAATCGGAAGTACAGTTTCAACAAATAATACACTGCATATATTCTTCTTAGTGGTTAATTGCTGTACAAGATGCAGACTTGCGATCCTACTTACAAACACCATTAGAACAAATTGATTTTTCTGACACAAGGTTCGCTATACAGCCCAGGCTGGCATCGGACTCGCTACCCTTCCACACCCTTCCAGACACCAGGGGTCAAGGAGACGCATCCCGTCCCTGCAGCCGGGTTTTGGTTCAGTAATAAGTCATTTATTTTTTATTTATATAATTAAGAGACTCATTCAGTCTGCCTAAAATAAACTGTCTAACTTGTGATTGTGATATCTTCAGGCAAACAACATCATGCTTAAATAAGAATAAAAGCATGGGGCTGGTGAGATGGCTCAGTGGTCTAAAGAACCTACTTAGAACAAGTTTAGCAAAGCACAGGGACCACGGTTCGATCCCCCAGCACCACATGCCAGCCAGCCCCTCCCCCTGGTGGGCTGAGCTGGCCACACACACACACACACACACACATAAATAAAAATAAAATAATTTTAAAAAAAAAGAATAAAAGCATACTTTAAAAAGAATACAGGTTCCAAACCAATGATCTACATAAAGACTTAAAAATGATTAGAATAATGTGAAATTCTACATCTAATGCCAATTTATGGCTTCCAAACAATAAATGTAGAAAGAAAGAGGTAAATAAGAGATCACTATTAGGCTAAAAATTATAGTGGAAGTTGTTGCAGGCCAGGCTCATTAAGGATGCAAAAATAAATGGATAGTCTTGAAGTATTTCCAAAATATCAGTGACTTCAAGGGGGAAAGAAGGTAACTTCAGAGGGAAAAGCAGCAAAACCTCTTTGCCCCAGGGACCACGTCAGTAGCATCCCTACTACTGAGACATGACGGGACATGCTCTGGATGAGACAAAAAAAAGGGCCCAGCACCCTTCTGCGGCACTCCTGTCAACAACGCAGAGTACCCAGGCCCGGATGAGGAATGCAGTATTCCACAAACAAGTGGCCCATCCCCGTCAGAAGTGTCAAGATGATAAACAACAAAGATTCAGGTATGGATGAGGCTAAACGCCAGTGTAACTGAGACCACCAGAATAGGCAGGGTTGAAGCAAGCAGCAACACCTTTATTTCAGACCAGGTACAGCTTGGCCAAACGCAAAAAAGACCCTTGGGGCCAAACAAAGGGAGAGGACGAGCTTTACAGGGGAGCTGAAGTAGGGGAGAGGGTGCCGCCAAGGCAGATGGAAAGTTTCAGGCTTGTCTGTGGGTGGGTGTGGTGCCTCTGGCAGGAAGTACCTGGCAGGAAGAGCAGAAGAGCAGGTGCAGATTCCCTGTGAGCCTGGGAGCGGACCACGCTGATAAACAGGGCTTTTTGGTTCCTTGGGCTGGGTGAGGAGGAGCTTCCTGCTTGTACCACAGTGGATCTGTATGGATTTTTCTCTTTAAGTTGGGTGGAGTCCAGTTGAAGGATCCTAACGGTAGCATTAGAGTCCGGGCATGACACAGACAGGAGAACTAAAAGCTGGTGAAACCCAGGTAAGACCCTCAGACAGCAAAGGCACTAGGGAAAAACCATCATTTGAGTGATGTACACCTCAGATAAAAATGCACCACTGCTAATTTCCTGGTTCTAATCATTGTTCTGCATAATAGGAGATGTTAACGTAAGGGAAAGCTGGGGATGAAGGATTTCTAGCTCTCTGTGTGCGTACACATGCATATGTGTGTTTGTGTGTGTGTGCGTGTGTATGTGCGCGCACACACACACACAGGTTTTCTATTTAAGGCTAATTTAAAATTAAAAAATAAAAAACTAAATTCAGCATGTTCTAATGAAGGCAGTCATGGGCTTGAAGAGTCCTAAGAAATACACAGACCGGGCCCAGGGAGATGGCTTAGTAGAATAAGCGCCTGCCTGGCAAGCGCAAGGTCCTGTGCTCAATCCCTGGTACCACAAAATAAAAAAATAAATAAAGTGAAGTTTGGGCCGGCCAAATAGCTCAGTGGATTAAAGCGCCCGCCGGCAGGCACAGGGGCCAGGGGTTTGATATCCCCCCCAAGCCGGCCCTGCCCCGGGGCGCGCTGAGTCTGGGCGTGGTGGTGCATGCCTGTACTCCCAGCTCTTGGGAGGCTGTGAGCAGCGCACCACCAGAGCCTGATGTAGTAGTGAGACCCTGAACACCATGTAGATTCTTCCCTAAAATACAAAAAAAAAAAAAAAAAGAAAGAAAGAAAAAAGAAAAAGAGAAACAAAAAGAAACAAAGATCGTGGCTGTTTTCACTGCGCTCCACCACACAAGCCAGAGCTTGCAGAGCTCAAGCCTGGTCCCGCCCGTCTCCAGTTCACCCCTCTTCCAGGAAGCACTCTAGGCCTCTGGTTCGAGGGCCTTTTCCTTGCTCGGGTAGTTCCTCTGGGCCAGACTCCCCGCAGCGTCCGTCCGTCCTCCGCATCCCTGCAGTGGTGTGCACCACAGCTGACTGATACTTACAAAGAATAACCACCGAGCTTCCTTCTTTCAAAGACCGTGGAGTCGCACCACACAGGCTGACTGGGCGCGGAGCTAGGTACTCATGAACAAAGCCCAGCTATCCAAGCAGCCTAGAGTGCGGTAGGAGCTCGGAGAGGAGCAAGCCCCTGGCTTCCAGCTGGGTCAGTCACGTCCAGGACCCCAAGGGAGCAAGACAGGTCTTCAGGAAAGCAAGAGCAGAGGCTTTCGTGCAGCAAACAGCAACAAGCGGTTCTGGCCTCCCCAGAGCAGAACGAAGGCACAGAGGCTCAAGAGAGGTGGAAATTTGGAACAGGAAAAGGATAATTCCAGGGTTTTATTCTGGAGGACCTCAGATGCTTTTTTTTTTTTTTTTTTTTTTTATTTGAGAGAGAGAGAGAGAGAGAGAGAGAGAGAGAGAGAGAGAGAGAGTGGTGTGTGTGTGTGGCCAGCTCAGCCCACCAGGGGGCGGGGCTGGCTGGCATGTGGTGCTGGGGGATTGAACCGCGGTCCCTGATGCCTTGCCAAGCTTGTTCTAAGTAGGTGCTTTAGACCACTGAGCCATCTCTCCAGCCCTCAGATGCTATTTTTAAAAACACAGGCTTTGACTAGATTCTGAACTACAAACTAGGAAAATGTTGTAATGGCCATTATTTGGTTAATGGAAATAACGGGATGGATGATAGATCAGACAAATACTGTATCTGTGTTAAGCTTTTGAAGAGGATGCACAGGCTGTGGTTTGGTAAGAACGAGATCTTAGTCTCAGAGGACACACCCTGTAGGATTTACACACGAAGGATCCCGATATACACGATTTACAGACATTTCTCAACTTACCACTCAGCTGTGTCCTTCGTCGTAAGCTGAAAATACATTTCCTACACCACACCTAACCTGCATCGCACCGAGGCGTGGCCTGACCCACATGCCGTGCCCAAGCCATTCACGTTATCCTGCAGTTGGGCAAAAACCACCTCCACTACGTGCACTTACGGGTGGACAAGAGGTGAGGTCAGAACACAAAACACATTAGCCCAAAGCTGTGGCAACACAACACACTCAAGAGGATGATTTTTACCCTCTGATTGTGGGCCTGACTGGAAGTTGTAGCTTGGTATGGCTGCCCAGAAGCGACACAGTATGGTGCCACATACTGCAAGGCTGGGAAGAGACCAAAACTCAAAAGTCAAAATAGCATTCGTACTGAAAGCACGTAACTCCTGCACCACCACAACGGTGAAAATCGTGGTCAAACCAATTTAAGTTGTGGGTCTTCTGTACTGCCAAGTGAGGTGAACAAAAATTGTGTGTGTGTATGTGTGTGTGTGTACACAGGCACAGAGGGTGGAGGAGCCAAGGAGGGAGAATGTTAACAATAGGCAAATCTGGGTAATTGTTAAAAGAAGTTCCGAATTGTATCTCCCTCATCTCAAATTTATAGGTTGAAGCTTTAATTTCCAAAGTGACTGTGTGGAGAGTGAGCCTACAGAGAGGCTATCAGGGTCCATGATGGAGTAAGCGGAGACACCCCACAGATGCATGTCTTGTACCCCCACACTGTGCTTTGCCACATGCGCACAGCCTGAA